GGGCCTTATCAACACCCTCAGCGGGATTCGAACCGCGACAGTGCAGGATGGAAGTTTGACATGCTAACCAATCAGCTCCCATCCTGCACGGTCGCGGTTCGAATCCCGCTGAGGGTGTTGATAAGACCGATGCGAGATCGAAACTGCAGTCCACTGGTGCCTGGATGAGAACAACTTTTGGAAAAGCAAGGCTATGTGGAATTTAATAGAAACGTCAGCTCAACTCATATCATTGTGGGAAAATTCTTCTTCTACCAGTCCTTCATCACTCTAAACGAAATTGGGTGAATAAATCTCATATTACTTATATTTAGTATGAGTATGTTTACTCTTTATAGGGGCATGAGTCTCCATTTCGAATGGAAAGTTGGTCGGAATGAATTCGTGATGTGGTACCGTCGGAAACCGAAGCAGGATTGCCGCGAAGGGAAGACTGTTGAATTGTGCGAACAAATCCTTTGCTCATTGTCCTGCACACTTTCATCGGGGTCTCAAAACGGTTAACCAAGGTCTTCTTCACACAATTCAACAGTCTTCCCAAAGCGACAATCCTCATTCGGTTTCAGATGGGACCACATCACGAAATCCTTCCGACCAATTTTCCCTTTGAAATGGAAAGTCATGCCATAATATTTCATTAAGGAATTCTTCGAAAACTAGTTTTTTTCATATCTTTGTTTACTCTTCACTTAAGTCTCATATAATTATTGTATCTAGAACGTGCTTGAAGTAGTGATAGAGTCTAGCATATGTGAAATTCGATGACAAATTCAAATGTTGGCCCTTCATTACCTTCTGTGAACTAGGTTGAATACAGCCAGTAATCGAAATCGACAAATAGTTTAGAAACCTACTTAATACAAATACGAGTACAAATTTCGTTTTATATTAGGCATGGACATGTGTCTAAACGACCAGTAATTCATAGCTAAGATACGATGATAAGCTGGGTTTCGAAGCCTCCCTTAGTAGATTGAAGGGATTAGTAAATTAACCTCACCGAATATCGAGGGAGGATGGCTTTGGACACGTGGATAGTGGATTGTGCGAATATGCCGTCGGATCACCGTCTTGCGACACCGAACCATTCGTGCTGTGACGATGCGTCATGTGGCGAGCATATTCAGAACCAAAAGCCATAATTTATGTGATCATGAAAGTGCTGGTTTTTTAATTTATATCCATCGCAAAGTTTCTATTATTGATAGAAAGAATATTCCTAGTAGGACTAAGCAAGTCCTTCTGAGAGCATTTCGCGAATTAACTATTGCTAGCATTCAGTAAAATACTATAAAATTGCATTCCTTTGATTAGGATGAAAACTAAATAACAGCAACTACTGTTGGAAACTCTTAGCTCGCACGGCTTCTTTACATTGCGAACAATGGCAGATAAGTTTTTATGATAGGATATAGGAAATGTGAATAGGCCAAGGCAGAAGTGGAGATACCACAACTGTTTAGCTCACGTTTGGTCAAAGGATCGGCTTCATTTGTCTCTTTGACGATTTGTTGGGTGGTGCTAAGAATGGCGAGACTCACTGATGATGCCGGCGAAACGTCTGGGAATGTACCACGTCTACGGTCCGACTTTGGAAATGATCATGCATACAATGCACTCTGGACTTGGTGTGTTCCTTTAAGTCTTCCTACCAATATGGGCAAGTTGCGAAAACGGGGTCAAACAACTTCTATTTGATAGAGTTCTTTTTAGCAAGTTTAGATAAATAATATTGAAAAGCTTAGGAATTTGGGTATTAAAAATAAGACGAGGATTTATCTGGAGACAGTTAGGGTAGACGTAAAGGAGCTAAGTAGATTAGGAGAGAAAAAGGCAAGCCTGTCCATAACAACAATGGATGGTACCACTGAGAAAGTTATTCCTAAAGGCTTGAACTTTGCGTTTTCAACCAGCAAAGATAGCATAGAATAACAAGTTTTATCGACTGTTTGCCTGAGGAGACTAGGAATAAAATCGAGTTTCAGGTTGTCTTATTTATTGATAGCTGTGTATAGGAATGACCAAGAAATAGGAGAGCGAACAGCATTATTAAAAAACCAAGATAAAATGATCAAATAGTGTTAGGGTCAGACAAAGGAGGAGCAGTGGTAGTCATGGCTAAGGTTAAGTATGTAGAAAAAAAAAGCATTTTAGATGGATAGAGAAAGAGAGAGAGAAGGAAGAGCCACCGAGTAAGAGAAGAGAGCTTGACTGTAAATTGTATTGCATACACACAAGGAACACCTATCCATCAGCATCAACATTACGAGATCATAAAAAAGTTTAGTCATAAAGAAAAGCTCCCCTCAGCTTCGCCAACAAAATCCCCGGATGCTTTGTCAAGATCTCAAGATTGGGTTCAAGAAGTTTTTAGTATTTCAGCTGGCCATTGAATTTGCTTTAGTGTTTTTTGCTGATTCTTTCTGGCTTTGGCGATATTCGTCACATGACAGACTTACGTAAGCTCAGTACAGATGGACCGGGGTCGCAAGAGGGTGAAACGGCGCTCTATTCTCACAATCCATCCGTCCCATGTCCAAGGCCGGCCTTCTTCGGTATCCGGTGTGCTATACGAGCATCTTCTTGAGGAAAAACGGTCTAGGCAACTTATGCGAAGAAAAGTTGGGTTTCGAGCAATGTCTTGTTTCATAATTGTTGAGCTTACTTCCATTTTAAGTGAAAGGGTTTGGTGAAGAGATTCGAAGCTCGGTTCCACCAGATGACGACGGCCAATCCACAGCTGGTCAAGAGGAATCCGTCGTTATCTTCTGGTGGAACCGATCTTCGAATATCTTCACCCAACACTTTCACTCGGAATGGAAGTAAGCTCAACAATTATGAAACAAAAGATTCCTCGAAACCCAAATTTTCTTCGCATAGGTGGCCGAGACCGTTTTTCCTCAAGAAGATGCTCGTATAGCACACATTCACACTCGTCCAACAGGTATATTAAGAAAAGTTGGGTTCGAGGAATCTCTTGTTTCATAATTGTTGAGCTTACTTCCATTTCGAGTGAAAGAGTTGGGTGAAGAGATTCGAAGCTCGGTTCCACCAGAAAACTACGGCCAATCGACAGCTGGTCAATAGGAATCCGTCGTTATCTTCTGGTGGAACCGATCTTCGAATCTCTTCACCCAACGCTTACTCGAAATGGAAGTAAGCTCAACAACTAGGCCACTTAACTTGGTAGTTCTCAACAAAATCTGGCCTGGCCTCGCGACGCTATTTAACTTCACTCAACTTTACTTTCAAAAAGGCTGAGCTGGACTGTCGTCATAGTGAGACAAGGCTCATCAACGTAGCCAGACGACTGTCCTAAATTAAGCAATCGAAATAATGATAAAGAATCTGTGAAAAGAGGATGTTACATTCTGTCCTAATTGCTCTGAGCTATCCCCATTGATTGAATATATGAAGACCAAGATGTTGTG